GGTTGTCCTTATGTTAAAGAATATAGCTGTAATTGAGAAAAAAAAAAGAACATGATGTGAAATGTTCTTTTTTTTTTCAATGACACCTTTTCTTTCCCGTTCTTTCATTTACTATACGACTGGTTTCTCACTTTGTAAGCAGAAGACAACCAAATATAGACGTATATGAGACAAAAAATAACGGAACAAGCAACTACATAGTTCATTGATACTCTAACACAGTTAATTAAAAAATCAAAAAAAATGCGTTGGTTACTCTTTAGTTATGAATTGAATGCAATTGTAAAACAATGTGATGATTTATTACAAATTGTTGGTCAAGTAATTATTCATAATCATCATCATGGAAATTTATCATTACAAAATATAAAAGAAAAAATTAAGAAACATAAACCAGATCGTATTATTGTTATTGATAATGAAAGAAATTTTGAAAATAATTGTACTCTTTATGAAATACTTACTGATCATCTACTTATTCCTATATATGTTGGTCAAGCAACCATGCATCTACATTCTTCTATACCTATACTTTTATTAACATTTACAACTGATATTAATAATACAGATTCAATATCATCAATTAATGTTGTTCAAAATGCAAAAGATGAATTGATTAATCTTTTTTCAAATATGATTCAGTATGTTGAAATGACTTTTTTTTTTCAATAATAAATTATTATTGTTGTTTTTTCTTCTAGTGCAAAACTTTATACATCGATTACTGATGAAGATTTAAATGAAACAATTTTATTAAAACGTTTAAATTCATTATGGAAACATGATCCTGAACAAGCTCATCATATAACTATTCTTTCTGATATTTTACCTATTTTATTAGCATTAATACATGATGGTAAAGCACAAGGTCAAATAGATGTTTGTAATAAAGGTACAATATCATTGAATTGGTTAGAACAATTTATTTCTAATCAATCAGAAAGTGAAATAAATATACCACAAATAATTGATACTGATGATTTTATTGATCAATTTGAAAAATGGAATAAAGAAATGATTTCACCTGAAACACGTCATCTTTATCAAGCATCCTTTGTCGTACCAAATGCATCAAAAAGTATAGGACAATATCTTCAACAAAAATTAATTAATCGTAATCAAAATGCAATAAGAATTCTTCTTGTTACTGGTGGTTGTGGATTTATTGGTAGTACATTTATTAATCATTGGCTTGAAAAATATCCCGAAGATAAAATAATTAATATTGATCGACTTGATCCAGTTTCGAATATAAAAAATATTCAAAATTCTACATCATCAAATTATTCATTAATTGTTGCAGATGTTGCTAATAAAGATATTGTCTTACATTTAATGAAACAATATAATATTACACATATTTTTCATTTTGCTGGTAGAAATAAAAATAATATTTGTTTTCATTTAAAAATCAGAAAAAAAAAATTTTTTTTTTTTGTTTATTTTATATTTAGTTCAAGCTCATCTCGATAATTCATTTGGTAATAGTATTACATTTACAGAAAGTAATGTTTTTGGAACACATTCAGTTCTTGAAGCAACTCGTATATATGGTAAAATAATAAAATTTATTCATATTAGTACTGATGAAGTTTATGGTGAAACACCAGTTGGAAGTTATCAAGAAACAAGTCTTCTTAATCCAATGAATCCATATGCAGCAACAATAGCTGCAGCTGAATGTCTTGTTAAATCTTATGGTGATAGTTTTAAATTATCTTATTGTATTATACGTTTAAGTAATGTTTATGGACCACGACAACATATTGAAAAAGGTATTCCAATATTTATTAATAGTTTATTGAATGAACAAAATTTAGTCATTCATGGTGATGGAAAACAAATAAGAAATTATACTTATGTTGATGATGTTATTAATGCTATTGATATTATTTTTAATAAAGGAAAAACAAAAATGATTTATAATATAGGAACAAAAGATCAATTAAGTGTACTTGATATTGTTAAAAAACTTTTAAAAAAAATTCAACCAAATAAAAAATTAGAAGATATTATTATATATGATAAACCGAGATCATTTACTGATAAACGATATTCAACAACAACAAGTGGAGCAGCAAAAACTCTTGGATGGCAAGCACAAGTATCATTTGATGAAGGACTTGATAAAACTATTCAATGGTATAAACAAAATCCAAATTATTGGAATAAATAAAATTAAAATGAATTCTATTCCAAATTTACTTTATATAACGAAATTTTGAAATATTTCAATAAAAAAATAGTTTTCGTATAGTATTCTTTTAATAAATTTTATTTTAATCAAATCAGAGGTGGTCCGACTCCTCAAACTTTAGGAATTATAAAAAAAAAAAGTTTGCTCGATGTAGCGTATCTAATATAGCAACCGATATTTCTACTCGCTTGTTTTGTATATTTTTCTGCATATCATTACAATTCCGTTTATATTATCGCATAAAGAAAGTACATATTAAAAGAGAGCATATGCATATTGGAATGTAAGAATGAAAGAGTAGATCAATAGAAAAAGGATGCATAGGGAAGCAAATTTTGCCGCCGAAGGCGGTCACTCTCGCAACTACTATTCAGTAACGAAGTGTTTTATGCATAGAAAGACATTTCAACATGTTTCCAAAACTAAAGATCAGATATTTTTTGCATCAGTTACGGTTGTACAACTGTTAGTTTTTCGCGAAATGAAAAGGTTTTAATTTTTGTTTATAGTATGTTCGGGAAAAACATAATTTAGTTTTTTATTTTAGGGAAAAATATTGTAAAATCCCTACTGTATATTTATTTTTGAATCTTTTAACTGGCAAAAATAGGAAAAATTCCCATTATTGGGCATTGTTACAATCCCCAATAACCCCTAGTCAAGTCAGTCCTGCCTTAAGTAATGATTATGTTCTAATTAGAACATTTATATCCTAAATAGGAGAATAATTTCCTATATATTACATGAATTATCATATTCTAATGAATTACATTACCATAGAAACGAAAAATAATAATGATTACATATTCTTTATTACTTCTGTTATATGACTTCACTGAAACAAAAACTTTTCTGGAAACAAAACTTCTACGATAATTCCTATTTGCTTCTTCTGTTTCTAATATACATTCTTTTGTTGAATTAAGTTTAATTCCATTGTCATTAACATCTAAAAGTGATGTTTTTTTTTTAAATATTAATTTTTTTCATAAACAAAAAAATTATCGTTTGTTTATCATTCGATATAATAAATCATTCTAGTAGTACAATTTCAAAATTCAAAATCAATATTTATTAATATGACCGAAAAGTGATTATAAGTAAAAAAAAAAAAAACAGGAACTCGATTAAAAAAGATGTCAGTATACTGTAAGAAACAAAGATGAGATCTAAAACATCAGATTTTTTTTTTTTATATTAAACAACTCGATTAATATAGAAGAGAAAAACACAATGAAAAAGAAAAAACGAAACGAATCATTCTCGAATACGAGATATATTAATAATATGTTTCTTCATATGTCCTATAATACAAAAGAAAGAATAAGATTTTTATTAAAAAAAAACAAAACTTACGATCAAGATTTGTTTGTTGTCCAAAACGTTTCCCACATTCATTACAACCATATGGTCGTTCTTTATGATGAATACTTCGAATATGTCTCTAAATTAATATAAAAAAAAAAAGAGTAATTTTTTTTTTAAATAAAAAATCAAATATGGGTATTAATATACTTGTAAATTTGATGATATACTAAATGATCTTGTACACATTAAACATGTATAAGGTTGTTCACCTGTATGACTTCTTAAATGTCTTGTTAAATTTGCAGCACGAGGAAATTGTTTTGAACAAAATTCACATTCATAATAATTATTTCCATTTAAACGATTTTGTTGTTGATGATGATGATCAATATGTTGTTTTTCATCATCTTCATCATCATCATCATCTTCTGATATCATACTACTACTATTTGATTCATCTTCAATTGATGTTTTTTTTGGTATTGTTAAATCAAGTGGTGTATCACACATTATTTGTTCATGTTGTTGTTGTTGTTGCTGTTGTTGTTGTTGATAAAAATGTAGTAAAATTTGTTTATGTAAAATTGTCCATGCTTCAAGAGGAAGTGTTGATGAATCAAAAATATCTTTTGTTGTATTATTTGATAATGAATGATACATTTGTGTAGCTGCAACACCAATAGCTTTACATTTATTTTCTTCATTAAATTTATTATTATTATTATTATTATTATTATTATTATTATTATTATTATTGTTATCATTAATTGAACAAGTTTTTTTATGTCGAACATAATATTGTCCATTTGGAAATGTTATTAAACAATTTGGACATTTTATTTCACGAGTATGAATACGTTTATGGCGACATAAATTTGATGATTGAGTATAAGCTTTTGAACAAATCTTTTTTGTATTAACAAAAAGAAAAAAAAAACAGATTTAATTTTTAAATAGTAAATTGTTTAAAACTTACTTCACATGTATATGGTTTGATTGTTTTATGTATATGCATATGTTGTTTAAGTCCACTACAAAAAAATTTTCTTTTATATTATTTAAATAAAAAACACTCCATATCAATACCTATGAGTGGCAAATGATTTTCGACATTCTGTACATTGATGATGATGATGATGATGATGATTTTGTTTTGTTGTTGAAGATGAAGACAGTAAAGATAACATAGTTTTAAAAAATCTTTTCTTTTTTTTTTTAAACTGATTGGATTAGTCGTAGTTTTATTTATGTACCATCATCAAAGTCTCATTTGTATATTCTCTTTCAATTTTGTCGTCTACCTGCTTATTGTATTCATTCATTCATTTATATATATATGTATATTCGCTTTTTGAAGAAATAGAGAGAGAGAGAGAAAGAGAGAACACTTCTGTTTGCTTAATCATCATCCTTCTAACTGTCATAGCAGATCATAAAGACATGGGTGTTGAGAATGTCGCCGTTTATCTGCCGCCCGCAATATTTAATGACCAGGTAAAAAAGAGAGAGAGAACGGAACAATCGATACCCGGGTGCCATCGACGGCGAATAATTTGACTAATGGCCATCATCGTCGTCGTTCTCACATATAAGAAAGACGAAAAAAAAAAAAAAGAATGAAAAGCAGAACACATAAATTCATATAGCAAAGAAGTGATATGACATTCCAACGATGAATTGAAAAACAGGTTATCACAATCATTATTTGATCATTAGAATGTATACAATCGTCTTTACTGGCATTTTATCATTTTACCATTGATGACAATATATGCGTATATATATGTCGATGCTCATTATATGTATATAAAGAATGAATGTATAAAGACTCTCTTTCTCACAACAGGTAGTCTCATTGGAATTGAATAGAAAAGAAAGAAAAAAAAAAGGAACACTGTCGATAATGATATCAGACAGACTGAATAAGTGAAGAAACAATTACAAGTCTTTGCTTCGACGATTCTTTTCATTGAAAAGAAAAACGATACATATATATTCATCATGAGAAAATGATAGTTTACAAAATAAATATCTTTTCAGTTGAGTTTAAAAAGAAAATGATTGGATCCTATAATAGATGTAAAATATATACAACATTATATTCGAACATTTAATAGATAACTTATTCGGTTAACAAATAAACACTTTTATTATTATCAATTTGACTTCATTACATTGTACATATTTATTTTATTTTATTGTTTTAATTCTCAAAAATGAAATATCTTTGTTGGACATCTGCTTAAGGAATACTTTTTAAAATTCATTCATATAAATATACATTCAATTCATATTACTCATAATATGTAGTTCTATATGAAATATTATGAATTAAAGAAAGGAATTAGTGCTTGTACTCCTGGCAAACTTTTTTCTTCTAACTATTCTTATTTAACGGGTGGCCCATAAAGAATTGCCTTCTTAGTGTTTTTAACATTTCTCCTCTATTATCCCTGTGATTCAAACACCTTTTTTTATCAAAAGATAGTCCTTGAAATTCTCTACAAAACCACATATGACTAGACCTTAAAACTATTTCAGATATATCTGAGAAAAGATGAAAAATGAAGACACACAAAAAGCTGTAAAAAATAACGGATTGTACATAATGAACGATCGCGCTTTGTATCTAATGTTTTCATCACTTCGTCCTATTAAAAAACAAAATAAACCAAGAGATGCAGCGTGAAAACATCTACAATTTATATAAGACCGCCTATTTTATAGTTGCACTTTTTGTCTTCAAAATGGACAAGATTTTGAGCGATCAAATTTGGACCGTGCGAAAATAATATTTTTTTTAGTACAAGATGAATTCGTTTTTTCTTATTTTATCTTCTTATTACCTGATATGTTTTATTTAAAAAAACAAAACACCACAAGATGCGGCGTGGAAAACTCTACAATTTACAAAGAACAAATTATAAAAAAGAGAAAATAAGAAAAAAGGAATTCATCTTGTACTAAAAAAAATATCATTTTCGCACGGTCGAAATTCGATTGCCCAAAATTTTGTCCATTTTGAAAACAAAAAGTGCGACTATAAAATAGCAGATCTTGTGTAAATTGTAGAGCTGTTCAAGCTGTATCTTTTGATATACTTTATTTATCTAATAGGGCGAAGTAAGTGATGAAAACATAGGATGCAAAGCGTGGCCATTCATTAATGTACAACACGTTACTTTTTACCGCTTTTTGTGTGTCTTCATTTTTCATCTTTTTTCAGATATATCTAAAGCAGGTTTAAGGTCTAGTCATATATGATTTTGTAGAGAATTTCAAGCGCTATCTTTTGATAAAAAAAAGATGTTTGAATCACAGGGTAATAGAGGAGAAATATTAAAAATACTATGAGGGCAATTCTTTATGGGCCACCCGTTATTATGAGTCTGCTGATGATATGAGATGACTGCAGCAGAACTTGAATCTTTCTAGTCGTAGAAGAAAACAAGGAATCACTTTCAACGAATATTGTATTATGACTTATATCATATTTAAAGTTGCATGAATAATGATCAAATCTTTACTGAAGATTTTCTAGTAGAAAATAAAATCATCTTAAACAATTACTTGAGTAACGAGTACTGTGTATTATTAAAAAGTTTTCACAAAGGAAAATTTCCAACTGATCCACGCTGTTTGCAATGATTCTTTTTTTTTGTCCATATGTTAGAGACATTACTGTAAGTGAGTTTGAACTGATGGAGCTTTCTTCAAAAGAAAAAATTTAGAATATTTCAAAGACTATCAGTGTGCTAGATGGAAAAATCAGTAAAATGATCTTAACCTTTGAAGGAAGCCCGATCAACCCAAACCATCTTAAGATTCTTCTTAGAATAATGTCCCCAATATATGCACAAAAAAAATCATTGAAAACGACATGGATCAGTTGGGAGTCTTTCCTCGTCAGTTACGCACTTATTTTTTTAGTACATCAGAAAGATTGTTTAACTTGTAATTTTACAATGAATCACAGCTAGAAAGTGAAATTTTTATTATCAGTGCAATTTCATACAGTCTATCAAAACAAAAGTGATAGTATTTATAGCTATGGTTCGAACTTCTGAAGAGAGAATGTCTTTATAGTAATCACGAATTCGCAAAACATAATCAAAGAAAATGGTACATATACTCCTAGTAATTATTTTTTTTGACACAGGTAGTGTTATGATATGAAAGCTTTTAATCCAAATCTTGAAGTTTTTAGTGTTAGTATAAAAATTCATTACTTTTAGAGAAGAATCACTTTCACGTAAAATTCCCAAAAAAAAAACGGTTAGTATTTTTAGATTTTGATTATCAAAATCTAGAAGTATTGGTCGTTTTTTGTGAGTATCTTACGTGGAAATGATCCTGTTCTAAAAATAGTGATATCTTTATTACTACCATTGAAAAAACTGATACCGCGAAAGTAGAGTATATTCGAATGTACACTGCCAATAATTGAAAATTATTCATTATTATCTAATAAAATTACCAAAATTTTTTGAATTTTTTATTACCTTTATGAAACATTTTTTTTTCTATACCTTCCAATCTTGATACTCTGGCGTAGCTTCTGCTAAAAAAGTTCAATGTCTAGCTGTGTTATCTTCTATCGGCACACTATGCTGGATAATATAACCAATGGAATAAGGACCACTTCATTTATTGAATTGTTAAATCATCTCATTAGAAATATGCTAAATAAAATTGTATTCATATGAAGAAAATTTTTTTTTTTTGTTATTTAATTCTTTTTTATGAAAGAAAAAAAAACACGTCTTTACAAACACTCATTGCCAATAGGATAAGATTCAAAAGTAAGCAGCAAAAGACAATGAAAATAATGGATTTACAAAAGATACAAGTTTATATAAAAAATACGACAGAAAGAATAGCAACAATATCTTTTTTGAGTTTTTTTTTTCTCTTTATTCACTTCGATATTTCTCTTTATCATCATTTCGTTTATCACGATCAATTTGATTTCGAACTCCAACAAGAACATTTTCTGCAGCTTTTGTTGTTGTTACAATTGGTTGTATAGCAACAGATGGCATTTGTCTTAATAAACCTCCAACAACACCTAATATACCTTTTCGTCTTCGTCCTAATTGTGCTTCTGTTTTTAATTGATGTGATGTTGTATTAAAACTTTGTCGAATAACATTAACAGCATATGTAACACCTTCACGTATATCATTTGGTGGTGGACGATTTCGTACCATAATTGTTTGTGTTGATGATAATGAAGATATTGAACCATCTGGTAATGTTGTTGATGATGAAACAAGTTCAAAACATAATAATGCAGCTAAATGTGCACAACGTACAAGTTGACTACTTAATTCAATTAATGCTAATGCTGTACTTGTTGTAAATGATGATGCACCACGTTGTATACCAAGAAAAACTCGACCATCACGACGATATTGATCAATTGGTAAATAAAATAAATCTTTTATACCAATAACAATTTGTGATATTGATGATAATGGTACAATACCTTTAATAACATCTGTTGGACGTATATCATTTAACCATTCATTCAATAAAAATTTGAATAATTTTTCATAACCTAATAAACCACTTTTATATGATATACGTTTTAAATAAATATCAACTTTAGCTAATTGTGCTAAACCAATAAGTAAATTTAATAATGGTCCTGCTTCAAATAATTGTTCACTACGTAATTTTCCATGATAATCAATACGTATATGACAAGCTGGTGAAAAAACAAAATGTTTTATAAATACAGATGGTGATGAATTTGATGATTGTGATATATCATTAGTTATTGGTGTATTTAATGTTGGTGATGATGATGATGATATATAACGTGATGAAGGTGATGTACTTAGATCAGAATCCAATGATGATGATGGATATTCATTATTTATATTGTTTGAATTTTGTTCAATAACTAAAACATATTTAACTTTAAAGAATTCAACAATAATAATGATAGTTGATTAATTGATATTTCATTTTCATCATATTTATCTGTTTTTTTTTTCTTCCTTTGATCGTAGAAACTCTTATATGAATTTACCTGGTATTGGTGTTGATGTTTCTCGATTATTTGTTAAATTAATAAAAAAATTTCTCATAAATACAAGTGTATCCTAAATATTAATACAAAAATAGTTTATTGAAATAAATTTTTTTTTTTTATTTACTTGATCAATATTAATTCTCAATG